ATGTGGCCAAGGTGTGCAAGAGTTGCTATGCCCGCGCGATGGCAACGGGTTGCTACGATCGCTTGCCAGATGCTTCGCCAGTGCATAGCGACCATATCGTACAAGCTACGTGCTTCCCAGAGGTGCTCGTACCACACCTGTGCCGGGGTCTGGTTTGGGGAGCAAGCATCGGTTGGTCGAGCGTGCGCGGCGTCGCATCGCCGGCATGCGCCCGCCGGAGAGCAACGTGCGCGGCGCCACCAGAGGCGCTCGTCGGACTAACTCGATGCTTCGAGGGCTGGAAGCCACAGACACCTGTCTTCCAGCCCACCAGACCCACGCGCCCAGGAGTGGGATATTTAATAAGTGTTAACTAGTTAACACAAGTTAAATACCGATACGGAGGGCGCGTCACACAGTGCGTCTCCGTCACACACGTGCATATCATCCGCGGTGCGTCCTCCACCCTTATCCAGGGTGCGTCGTGAAACGACCTGTGCAGGCGAACGTCGCCGCAGCTTTACAGAACCAGACGGCATATGCCGTGTATAATTTCTTTCAACCCAGCCCGCCACTCCCGGGAGCAAGCATCGGTTGGTCGAGCGTGCGCGGCGTCGCATCGCCGGCATGCGCCCGCCGGAGAGCAACGTGCGCGGCGCCACCAGAGGCGCTCGTCGGACTAACTCGATGCTTCGAGGGCTGGAAGCCACAGACACCTGTCTTCCAGCCCACCAGACCCACGCGCCCAGGAGTGGGATATTTAACGCGCATTCAATGCGCATCCGACGAACTGACGGTTTGTATGACGAAATAGATGGTGTTGAAAAGGTATGGTAAATGAACACGCGAGGATAAAGCGCGAAAAGAGCTGAGATGCAATGCACTTGAAGAAGATAAGCACGTCACGGCGCCTGGGTCTCGGGATGGAGACCGTTCATTGAGCGAAAATCTGGTTGATGCAAAAGAAGGATTGAAGGAAGCCGAAATCGTGCGATAGTCGGTACACGACTCGGGATAATAAGCGCGCACTGTGGGTCCGACTATACTCAAAGCCTTGCTAAGTAAGCTAGGAGACGAGGTTACAGACAATCCGGATTCCTTCGGGCACAACTCATAATAACGCGGAGGTTGAGCGGGGTAATTTGGATGTGGAGTTTTCTACATTAATGGTTGACGGCCATGAGACGGAAAGACATGCTTCATGAGATCTGGACTCCGCGTATTGTAACACGACTCCACTGTACACACCCAACAGCTTGGAATCTTTAGAGCCCAACACAATCTGGGGCTCTATCCTTTGATTAGAGAAGGAGGCCCCCGTCAATATACCGTAAACCCTTCGATATCCCCAGATACACTTCTCGGACAAGACATGATGCGCTGTGATACTACAGCGGAAGATTACGCTCAGTACACAAATATGTGTCCCCGAGGAGGCATATATCAATGAGTGAACACGCTCCATCATATGAATGGAGCATGGCAGTGCTAGCTTCAGAGGATCTTCAGCTTCGCTATGGTCTCCCTAGGAAGATTCTCGTAAGGGTGAGAATCTTACGCTTTGTGTAAGGATTTGTACTGTTGACGTTCCATGTTTATGTATTAAGTTTTGATTGTATACCTTTTCCTGATACTTCACAGCCATGGCTGCTACTGGAGAGAAGACTCATATGTCCATCGTGATTTGCGGTCATGTCGATTCCGGCAAGTCGACCACCACCGGCCGTTTGTTGTTCGAGCTCGGCGGTGTCTCCGAGAGAGAGATGGAGAAGCTCAAGGCTGAGGCCGACCGTCTTGGCAAGTCCTCCTTCGCCTTCGCCTTCTATATGGATCGTCAGAAGGAGGAGCGTGAGCGTGGTGTCACCATCGCTTGCACTACCAAGGAGTTCTTCACTGAGACTTGGCACTACACTGTCATTGATGCCCCCGGCCATAGGGATTTCATCAAGAACATGATCACCGGTGCCTCTCAAGCTGATGTCGCCCTCCTCATGGTCCCCGCTGATGGTAACTTCGGTACCGCCATTGCCCGTGGTAACCACAAGGCTGGTGAGATCCAGGGTCAGACCCGTCAGCATGCCCGTCTTATCAACTTGTTGGGCGTTAAGCAGTTGGTTGTCGGTGTCAACAAGATGGATTCTGATGTCGCTGGTTACAAGGAAGCTCGTTACACTGAGATC